GTTTTCAAAATGATTATTCTTGAGAATAAGCTACGAGTTTTAACAAATTCTTTTGCAGTTGTTTATCTTTTCGAATCTCTTACATCTTTATCGTCCTTTCTCACTTGAAATTGGACATGTTAATTCAAATGGTTTAGGTTTGTTTTCATTGAAAAGATTGAAGATGTAATTCTCTGTGTAGAGTTGTTAGCACCAACTGCCCTGAAATTTGAAGAAGCTAGACGAATCAAATAAGAAGAAATGATCTGTGTCTATAATTTATGGGATGATCCTGCTAAATCCAATGAAATTCATATCAAGTTAGTTGGTAGTGCCAAAGTGATTGATGCTCTCAAGGACCTAAAATACAAGGTATTTATTTATTTTTATTTTTATTTTTTTGAGATTAGTTTCAGTTAAACTTTCTTATAACATATGCTAATTTTATTTCATAGAAACGAGCACATGGAGTCTTGACCTGTATTGGGTTTGTAGGCTAGAGTAGCATGACAGAGGTTTGACCTATAGCTTTCAGGGCATAGCATCATTTGCTAAGATAATTGAGATTTTAGAAAGAATCAATGTTCTTTGGTTTAGCTAGATGATACTCACATGAATAGTTGTATTTGCATACCACCTTTGTTTTAATTTATCAGAATCTAAATATACTTCTAAATGCATATTAGTTGTACCATTATAATATTCAGTTCATAACAAAGTTAGGGATAAAGGGATTCTTTAGTATGATTCAGTTCATTAGTCTTGATTGAGTTTGTATGTAAAATTAGGAGCTTTGCCTATTGAATCTGGTTAGTTTATAACAAAATGTTCAAATGCGTCTTTGACATCTCTCTAATTTTGGGTTTTTTCTGGCAATAGCTGGTGGTAAAAGGGTCTGTCTAGCTTTTAGCGTTTTTAATGTTACAAAATTACTTCACGCAAAATAGTTAATTGGTTTTAGCTTTGATGCTTCCGGCTTTCCATTTTTTTTAGTAATTATTTTACTTTCTTCATCAATTTGTTACATGGTTTGTAAAGAAATGGTGAAGCTATCATGAAGCTATCATGGTATGAAAGTGCCATCTTATGTAGCATCATTGGTTTAACATGAAGAAATCCCCAAAGATTAACCCTTGAAATGTGCATTAGCTTAGGCTTTAGCTTTCTGCTTATACAATTATTATCTCATGCGCAAGACAAATTAGTTAATTATAACTGTTTTTGAATGATTTTCACACTATTCTAACAGTTGATATATGGGATGGACTCTTTTTAAAAAAATTTAATTGTAAGATTTGGTATGTAATAAGGTTCCTTCTCCATTTTTTGTAACGATTACTCTGAAAGAATGCAAATTTGTATAGACATGCAAGAAGTTAACAAATCAAACTAGTTGGTGGAGAGCTCTCAGTTATAATTGTTATTGATATAAAGCTATGGGTGATGCACGCTAAAGTTGCTGAAAAGTTTGTATGTTGCTACAATTAAATAATACTTGTTGGTGATACTGCTCATTGACTTCCTTGTACTTGTGGTTTTGGTTAGTAACTCTGTTTTTCTGAGCAAAAAACATTTTGATTATTTAGAATTTTCCTTATCTTCTAATCAATAGTTTGTAACTGAATTTTCTTAGATGCACGTAAACCTAAGGTGATGGGATTTACCATTTTACCTTGCCTCTGTTCATTTCCTTCTCCTTTATAGGTATCATGGAGACAACAAAATGCAACATGTAAAATGCAATACATAATTACATATGTTAAAGGTGGTTAGAATTGGGAATTTGTTTACAAGTATAGATGCAAAATCATCCAGCAGTATAAAGTATATGTATGTAGGATACTAGGATGCATTATTGACTTTACTACTTTTTACATTGACTTTTTAGTGACTATGAATTGATAACAGCATTTATGTATTGGTGAAGGAAGTTTGAACATGGTCTAAAAGATACTTAACAAGAACAGCACTTTGCATAGAAAGATAGATTGGATAATGACAAGAAATGCTTCTTTAATTTTTGAATTAGTATAAAGAGATCTCTTAAAGAAAGTTTACTTGCTATTAATTTTATTCTACCTATTTAACTGTACTTTTATTTGAGCTTTGCTACAGGCTTCACAACTTTTGCTGTCAGTTTAATTGCTAGGCTTCATTGGCCTCATTGTGGGTGAATTTCATTACAATATACTTTTGAGGTATTGATTTAGTTTCCATTGTTTTTTGTAAATGCATTCTTGCAAAACACATTTGATAATGTGTTATGTAACATGAGACAATTCTCATTTCTTCAAGTTGAAATTTGATTGTAAAAACCTCCTATAGCAAATTCTTTACAGTGAGGTTGCGTCATCCATGTTATTCGCGAATCATATATGGCAGCGGATACTATGGCTATAATAAGACATAACATCGCGAGTATTTTGTTGTTTTTGATTGTATCCCCAAGCAGTTAAATATGCATATATTGTGAAATTGACATAATTGAGATTAAATTCCCTAAAACTCACTATTATATTTTTCTTTTAAGTAATGATGTATCATTTCACTACTAATTTCCTTTTAATATTAAATTTTTATTTTATTTTTTTAATTTCAAGGGCCCGAGCATTGCCCGGGGTATTAACTAGTTGCTTTCAGTAGGGTTGCTCTTTTGCCAAGGGGCTAAAACCAACATTTAACCTTTCACCTTATAAAATTAATAAGTTTTACCTCTTAACTTTATAATATGATATTTTTAACTTTTTACCTTATAAAATTGGTAAGTTTTAATCTCTCACCTTATAAAATTGGTAAGTTTTAGCCCATCACCTTATATTTTGACACTTTTAACTCTTTATCTGTACGAATTGAAGAAAATAACCCTTATTTAACATCAAATTTTAATGTTTTATTAGTTCTGTTAGCTGACTGTCAGTTCTGTTAGCTGACTGTCAATTTTGTTAACTAACTGTCAGTTTTATTAGTTGACTGTTAATTCTGTTAGTTGACTGTTATCATCCGTTAGTATTCTATTAATGAAACTAACAAATAAAATTAAATTTAAATTTCATATTTTTTATAATGAAATGCTAACAGATGTTAACAGTCAACTAACAAAACTAACAGTATGTTATAACCTGATGTTAAGTGAGAGTTATTTTTTTTAATTCGTATAGGTGATGAGCTAAAAATATTATAATATAAGGTAAGGGTTAAAACCTATCAATTTTGTAAAGTAATGAGCTAAAATTTACTAATTTTGTAAGATAAAGGGTTAAAACTGTTATATATTGTAAGGTGAGAGGTTAAAATCTACTAATTTTGTAAGGTGAGGGACTAAATGTTAGTTTTTGCTTGCAAAACTACCGTCTTTGCAAAACTCGTCTTTTGCAAAACAACCTGCTTGTGCACAAAAGCTTGTCTTGTGCGCAAAAGCCAGTCTTTTGCAAAACAACCTGCTTGTGCACAAAAGCTCGTCTTGTGCGCAATAGCCAGTCTTTTGCAAAACACCTGCTCTTGCACAAAATATGCTCTTTTGCAATAACACCTACTCTTTTATTGTCTCGCGAGGAGAGAAATTAGTTTTTCAGCAATAAAAATTCATCAAACGAATAAATGGAAATTTTTTCTTCAGATCGATTGATCCTAGCGAACAGGTTGAGCTCCGTTAGGTCGTGCGCCACAGCGAATCCTTTTCAATTGTTCATCTTTTCATATATATCTTGGGCGAGATTCAGGTGTGTGAGCTATTAATCTTTTCATCATCATTATTTGAATGTATACATATGCTTAATTTGTTGTTTCTTCTTCATTTTCCATGTCATTTCTTCAATTTTTCTATTGTCTTAGTATGGAATCTTTCTTAATTTTCTATTTATCAGCAAAAAGGAAGGTTTTGGATCTGTACCTGTAACCCCAATTATTAATTTCCTTATATTATCTCTCCAGAAGGAAGGATCAATGCAAAGAGGACGTCCGAGAGGACCGCCACTGTCCGAGGAAGAAGTGAAGAAAAAGAGGGAGGAGAAAAATAGAAAGGATAGAGAGTATCGGGCCCGAAGGACGGTAAATAAATCTGTTGTTTTCACTTTCATATGTACTAAGTCATGACAATTAGCATAAGCATACATAAATATACAACATCATAGCACTTTCCTACGTATGTATACAAGATAATGCATGACACAATCTGTTTATAACATGAATCATCATTAGAAGCATATAAATATACATGCATGTCATTCAACTTACATTCAATTTCTCTTATAAGTTAGTCTCTGGCTGATGACCATAAAAGAAGTGGTGTGGGAGCTACTTTAAGGATGGCAGTATGGTTTTTCTATCCTGTTAGCATATGATGTGAGTATGTATATATGGAATATGTGGTTTGTGTTTGGCTATGGTGCTGGTTTGAGTGGAATCTCCATGCTCACACCACCATGGAGTTTCAAACTTCTCTCCGTTTGTACTTTATATGGTTTTCAAGTTTTTTGGTGGTTTGTCTATCTCATTTCACGGATGTGGATTGGCACTATGGTGCTGCAATTCCTCCATAATTAATGTCCTATATGTCCACTCTGCTTGAAAATTACTAGCCAAGTGTAGGATGAGGTAGTAACCTACACGCTTAAAGGAACTTCCCATGACTAGATGATGAGTCCTTGAGCTCACAGCTGAGCTTCCACTGTCCCTCTTACTCTCCATGTATAGGGCTGCAGCAAACTTTTTCTCCAGAAACTGCTCTATGTTTTGTTATGGGTGCAGTATTCCTGGATGTTAGTTTGAGATTTTCTCTCTATGGGTTCTACTGTTTAGTATCTGCTTATTTGTGTTGTAATAATGGATAGGTTTATTTATCTATAGTATAATAGTTTATATGCAGGGAAAAAATGATTTAATATTAATGATATAATCTATATTGTTCTGAATTATTGATGTTTACTTGAATTATATTCCTAAAAGATCCTCATCTACTCTGTTGTAATTGTAAATGCAGTGTGAATTCAACTTATATAAGGCCTTTTGTGAAGAGCCCGAAATTGCTGACTTGTTCAAAGCCTTCAAGGAAAAGAAAGAACAAGAGTTCAAGGAAGAATTAAAGGAGCTTGAGAAAGTTT